AACTTGCCCTCAACATCCGTTGTCTCATCCATCGATATCCATATTTTCTCACTGATTACTTTTACTTTTCTTCTCATTTCGTTCATTGTATCCGTGTAACATTGGTCAACGTAAACAAATCGTAAAACAGATTCTACAGGAGTATCTTTTCCAGTATACTTTTCGAGAGAACTTTTAAACTTATGATTAGATAGTTTATTAAGGGGAATATTAGCATCACTTTACATAAGTTAATATTTAAATATTTTTTTTTTTTTTTTGACATGGAAGGCACAAGAAACTGTATTTTTTTATTTCCTTAATTTCTCTGAAAACGTTGAATACGACGTTTATGTTTATCTGAAGTAATGTGTTGAACAATCCTGAAACGTTTTTTACTGGATATTTTTACTTTACACACTGTACAAATCGTTATTGGTTATTCAAACTCAGATAAAAAAAATGTTGCGAACAGCTTGTACGCGTTTGTTATTCTTTCGGCATTGTTAAAAGTAATGTAATGTACAAATACATGAAAAAAAATGTGAAAAAACACGAAATCGAACTCGGTAGTCGTTGGTGCGCGCACAATAACTAATAAATACTAGATATTAACAAGGTGGTCATAACGGCTACAACTAGTTTGTGCACATTTTAAAATTTCCCTGTTAAAACCTGCAACTCGTTTGCGCACAACATATTATATTATAGTTGGAACCTCTCGTTAATATAATAACATGGTATAGCCATGATTATATTTTGTAGAATTAACATATTTTGTTAAATCATGGTGACGTGCATTTGTTATGAAATTCAATATATGCAACAAGAAAAAAACATTTCCCAAAACTCCAAAATACTGTTAACGAGGATGTATTACAGCTGAAAGAATTTTAAGTTACATTTAAAGATGAACAATTTATGTATTTCAATGACGACAATAGTGTAGTATTGATTACATGCTCAACAAATTTAAGTGCTTTATGTGATGCTCCACATGTATTTGGAGATGGAATATTTACTTATTGCCCAAAATTATTTACACAACTATATACCATTCTACCATTCATATTTATCAAAATTATTTTTACGTACCAGTAGTATTTTGTTTTTTAGAAGATAAACATACGTCAACATACACAACTATGTGGGAATCACTTCAAAAGCTTTGTATTCACATTCTCGATCGGCAACTTATTATTAAAGAATTTAATTTTAATTTTGAAAAATTAGCTCATAACTCAATTTTAAATGTCTGTCTACAGTGTAAAATTGTAAGCTGCACATTTCATTTAGCTCAATCTTGGTTTCGTCGAATACAAAAAAGTAGTAAATTATTATTGGAATATAAAAATAATAATTCAGAGGTAGGTAAATGGCTTAAATATTTTTCTGGTTTGTCGTACTTGCCACCTTAAGAAATAGAAATAGCATTTTCAAATTTAATAGAAATTGCTCTACTTGATGGATTATACTTTTCTGATTATGTTTATTCGTCATATATATTACCTAATTCAAATTTAAATCCATCTATGTGGGCGGGAAAACTAGATGATTTACCCAGAACAACGAACGGAGCTGAAGCATTTCATAGGCATTTTAACAATCAATTCTATAACCCTCATCCACACGGGTATCAAGTAATAGATGTTATTTTAAACATTCAATCAGAAACTGAACTTAAACTGAATTCAATAAAAATGAATGTTTATATCATCGAAAAGAAATGTCACAAACAATTGAGTACATGAACAATTTGTGGACAAAGTATTCATATAACGAAATTGATCAATTAAATTACTTGGAAAAAATGGGCAGCCGCTTCCAAGGTAAATCTTTGAAATAAGTACCTAATTAAAATAAATATAAACAAATGACCGTTACAATAAAAATTAATTGTGCATATTTTTTAACACATAGCACACCAAAAGCACATTTTTAACCACACCAGTGAAGTTAAAATATTTACTGACAGTCTTAAGTCTGTATAAGTGGGAAGGAAAGTGTGTGCGCAAACGAGTTGTAAAAATGTGCGCAAATGAGTTGTAATCTTAGTAAATGTGCGGAAACCATGTGCACCCGTCATAACGACTATAGTATTACAATTATTTTTATGGGCAGATAGCGATTACTCACGTTCACAATATGTAATATATTGCGAGGAAAATAAATTTATTGAGTAGTGCGTAATAATATTGTTTCCATGGTACTGCTTTTAACTTGTAAACCCAGTGTCAAATAAAAATAAAATTACTGATAAAATTCGATGATTTTTGTAAACGTGTTCGGAAAAGTAAATAAGAATAAATACAATAAATGAAAAGCATTTACTTGTCTAATTTTTTTTTAACTTCCACGAAAAACGATTTTGCTGAATTTACATAAAATAATATGCACTAATAACTCAAAAAAAAAAAAAAAAAACAACTATATGCTAAATACTAAATCGTATGTCAATACACACAAAAGATGCAAACACATGCTCTATTAAACTTTACATTTTTATTACCATTATTATGAAACGGATTGGTATCTCATTAAGAATACTTTCCGATGTAACTATAAAAAAAGCATGCAAATGCATGAACTTCAAGCACTGATAATAATTATATTACTAATATCGTTTAATGGAAATTTGTTGAAATATCTTATTTTTCAAAATTTAATTTTGTAATGTTTATACATACATTTTGAGACTTCCCAAAATGTTTTATTTTCAGTATTATGAAAACTACATGAAAAATTTTGTATCCAATTTTCAAACCGAAAATATTTAAATAGAAAATTGTATGAACTCTAAACTACAAAAATGTAGCAGTAATTTTCAAGGTTTTTTGTCAAACTAAAAATATTTTATCGATATTTCCAAAAAATGTTAGAAAGCATGAAAATGGTTTTTAAAAATTACACCATGGTAATTGGTGATATAATATTTTTGTGAATATTTTTATATTTTATATTTAATATTATTAATATATTAATATATATTAATAATATTAATAATATTTTTTATTTTGTGAATACGTCTAAATATCTTGACTTACGATAAAAATAAAAAATATATTTTATCAAAAACTGGTATTTTGTATATTTTGCAGTAATGTATATTTTTCTCAGTGTTTGAAATTATTAGGAATATTAATAAACTAAAAAAATTAGAACTAAACTGTTGTAAAATTTGTAAAATGATTCACTGCAAAGTACTCTCTTCTACACAACATTTTCTATCAAAAATATCTTATTGTTATAAATATCAAAGCAATCTACTGGTCCAAATCATGCACCCAGAAAAAAGAACATTTATCATGGTAAAACTAATTCATTACTGATTTTACTCAAAATCTAAAACTATTTATGTTTGTTGTTTTAGTAAAAATATTTTAATTTAAATTCAAATTTTAGAGTTTTTATTTTGAAAATAAACTATTATTCTAAACAGAAGTTTAAATATTATGTTTTGATTCGATTATTTAAAGTGCATAATAATTAATATCCATTACTTCTTCGGAATAGCTTTAAAAAAGGCCTCGTTGAATGAAAAAAAAAAAGGCAAATAGAAATCTCAGTGACTCTGGAAGTTTTCTGTAAGCTTTGACGAAGAGTTTTTATTTATTTATTTATTTATTTATTATTATTATTATTATTATTTTTTTTTTTTTTTTGGGAAAGAAAGAATACTATAAGTGTTTGATCTGGATAACATTGTGCCCTTTGTGCTAGTTTTAAAGAGGATTCTTTTTTAAAAGATTCACAAGGAATAATACTCGTTATCCTCATAAACTACTAAACTATATTTTGATAATTTATTTTATAAGATATGTATCAATTAGAAGTGGTTTAAAATTACTTAGAAAAAGTTTTACAAGTTGATTGAGTTTTTTAAATTGTATCAATAAAGTATAAAGTAAAGTATAAATAAAATAAATAAAGTAAAAAATATAATTTAGAATAATTTTAGCATACTTCAATTTATTAATTTTGATTGTCCATGAAAATTTTTTAACTTAAAACTAAATTGACATTGATTTTTTTTAATAAAATGTTTGTGCTGAGGAATTTAATTTTTATTGCAAATATTAAATATGTATTATTTATTAGTTGAAAAATTTTTAAACCCTATCGCAACACAAAAATTATTTACCATATACTATTTTAGCCAACTTTTGGGTATAACATTCCAGTAACTACAATACCTACAACTTTTTCAGTCAAAAGATAATTCTTAGTTTAAATGTTTCTCGGGATTATAAAACAAGTTTATATTAATATCGTATAATGTAGTATAATTTTTTATTTTTTTGTCAATTTAATTTTTCTATACAACGTTTAGAGTAATTTATTACGTATTTTGATAATTTTTTTGCTTTTATATTCCAATTGTAAATGGCAAAGCCGTTGTTATACCATTTCGTATATTTATTATAAAACTTTTTTTTGATTCCGAGTTGGAGATATTTTTCATACACGATATCTTCGGGTCACAAAGTGAATAGTGGTTAGATTAAGTGAGGGGTTGATAAAACGTTCTAATTGCTGTACTTACCGTTTTTGTTGGTATCACCTTTGTGTGTTTCAGTCAATCGAATAATTTTAAATAAAGTATACCATATTGTATTTATAATCTGGTAAATAATTGGTTCTAATATTTTGTATTTTAATAAAAATCGTGTGTATTTAATGAGTATTAAGTATTAAGAAACAATCTAAAGACTTCATTGTCTTAGTGCTCTAGTATATGTTGTTGTATTATGGTTCATACAATCTAGAAAAAAATTCACTAAAAAAAAAAAAAAAAATAA